GAGAGAGAGAGAGAGAGAGAGAGAGAGAGAGAGAGAGAGAGAGAGAGAGAGAGAGAGAGAGAGAGAGAGAGAGAGAGAGAGATGGGTGATAATCAAGGGATGATTGGAAAACCTGGGCGTAAGGCTGGGTATGGGGGAGGGAGTGCGGCGGGAGTCATGGGCAAAGGAACAGGTCCAGCACGGGGGCGTGCAGATGTCCACATGAATTACCGTTCTCAAGGGTGTTCCGGCCTGTTCAATTGTGCGATGCTATGTCTGCCATCCAGCTGGGCGGGACGATGGATCCGACGGCGGTACTGGTCTTACATGTCCGATTCGGAGCTTGATTTTGAGGAGTTCGGGGAACAGCCGGCCTGGTTCACAGGCACCGCAAGGCGGGAAATTGAGGTGGGCCCGCGCACGGATTACCGCCCCCCATCCCGCGGCGGCAAGCTGATTTGCTCTTGCTACAAACTTTTGCTCGATATGAGTAATGTTGCTGATTGGGCAGCGGTGACAATTTTCGCCGCCATGCTGGCGGCCTATGGTGTTGCCGCGGCGGGCTCCAAAACTCTGTTCTGGTTGTCATTTGTGGCGTTGCTGCAGGGGCTGTTGTCAATTTTGATGACAGCGGCAAAACGGTCAAAGACGGGAGCAGACCGAGGGGCAGAGGTGCCCTGCAGCTACTGGCTGTCCAATCCCCCACGCGAAGGAATTGCTGCACAGTTGAACAGCCGATTTCCGATGCTTCTAGTCAATGATGCACAAGAGCTGGTGAACCACGTCGGAAAGGGCGTGGTTGGTGTCGTTCTTCTTACCGTAGGCCAAGACGAGATCACGAAACTAGGACTTGGCGATGTTGAGAAGAGTCTGGGGAGGAAAGATCTTCTGTCCAAGCTTCTGTATGTGGGTGCTGCCTGCTTGATCCTCCAGCTCGCCACGGCATTCATGGGCATGCTTATGCATTTCGTGAAGGAACACAATCCGGGGCTGAAGGCGTGGATGTCGCACTTCGTCCGTCACTCGACGATGCCTGGGGCTATGACGCACGACAGCGAGTTGTGCGGCCTTCCCGCGCACTGGTTCATCGGGTTGAACGACGTGAAGCTGGCCCTGGCATGGGCTCTTCACCGGCGGCACCAGTTCCGACTGAGGCGCACGCATTTCGGAGTCTTCACATACAGAGTGAGCAGCGTGCAAGCGGATCTCGGCGCGGAGATGGAGGTGTCCGACGAGGTGGTCGCAAGGTACACGGCCATGTCTCTCAGAGCCCTTCAGGGGGCGAGCACATACGAGGCGGGCCGCAAAGAGATCCTGGAGAACAACGGGTTCGAGCTGATCTTGTACGCCCTCAGGCCGGACAGCGATGGAGAAGTCCGCGTGCAGGCAGCGCGCGTCATTGACTCGTTCTTCCTGAACCTTGCGCGCCAAGCTTTTGCGGAGGGCAAGGTCAATGCCTGGGAATCGCCGGCGTTCCCGGTGCTGGGCCGGAAAGCGGGTTCCCGGCCACTGTTCCAGTGGCATGCTCCGGGAGCCTCGGGCAATCGGACCGCGCAGCTGATGAAGGTCAGTCCCAACTTCCTGGACGATGAGATGGAGAATCTGTCGGCGTACTACCTCCGCGCGGGTGCCGTTTTCTTGGTTGACATTGTGCAATCCAAGCAGACGACTGTTGAGCAAAAGGAGATCGCAGCGAAGGCCCTGCTGGCGCTGGTTGTTGCGGCGAGTACCAGTGTCTCAAATGCGTACGGGACGAAACCAAAGCATAGGGTGCTTAGCACGCTGCCGCGCTGGATGAGGACAACGCCTGTCGACGAGCTGGAGGTCCCCGGATTCGCTGGTGGTGCGAGGAGCCGAGGGCCGCCCATGGGTGCATCAGATGCTCCGGAACGAAGGCCGTCTCTCCCGGGGACCCCGCAGAGGAGCCCATCGACAGCAGTTGGGGAAAAGGTTCCCTTGATTGAGCCTCCGGCTCCAGCGAAACCTGCAGCGTCAGGTGGGGGTAGTGGGGGAGGGGCAGGGAGCCCGGGTAGCGGATCTGGTGGCACGAAGGGCAAACCATCACCAGCAGCGGGTGCAGTACCAGCGGGAGCGGAGCGTGGAGGGGCAGCCTCGGGCAGCGCCGGAGGACTTGCTGCCCCTCCTACAAAACCTGCTGGACCAGGTGCATCTCCTGGAGCTCCTGGAGGTGGAGCAGCTCCGTCGCCGCCTGGCAGGGGCAGTGTGTCTCCTCCGGGCGTGCCACAATCCGATGCGCCTCGGCAACGGAGTCTGCTGGGGTCCCCTTCTGGACGCCCCGCGGAGGCGCCTGCAGACCCTCCAGCAGCACGGCGCCGAGGATCTGGCGGTGGTGACATTGAAAGCGGCAAGCCTGTGCAGCAACCTCCACCTCTCGTCCGCCGGCCCTCTCTCGCTGAACGTCTTGAAGAGTTCGTCGGGACGGTGTTTGACATCCGGCAACAGCCAGCAGCGGCTGCGGGTCCGACTCGCGTGGACCATCATGCTGTGCAGAGCCGTCGTGCGTACAAGGAGACGTGGCCTTGGCTAGCCATTGTATCGGGGGTGACGGAGGAGGTGTTTGCCGCCTATGGCGAACCGAAGGAGGAGAATCAGGGACTCGATTATAAGCGTGAGATCATGCGCGAGGGATTCCGGGTGTCCAGCATCAAGGCCCTGATGAACGCGGCAGAGCTGCACGGAAACTCTGTCGAGTGCCGCATGCTTGCTCTCAGTGTCCTGAACGAGCTCTGCGCGGACGAGATATGTCGTGGCATATTCTTGGACAAGCTCAAGGGCATGAACATGATGATCCGAATGGTCGACCCTCTTCCGGATAGCATCTTCAAGGTCATACGCGTGGTGGACAACTACAACTACGAGCGGGAGATCAATGCACTAAAGCTGCGCACCACACCGGTCAGCGTCCGCATGGCCACTGTGTTCCTCTGCCTCAATGCCGACGAAGAATCGAAGATCATCACGAAACACAAAATGGACACCATGGAGCGGTTCGCTTTCATCATGATTGGACTCTCGCAGGACTTTCTGTCGTCCATGCCCTCCGCGGGAATGCTGTTCCGTGTGATCGATGCACTCCATGACAGCACGATGCTGGCTCGTCGCCTCCCGCGCGCGCTGCTCTCCAGGTTCCACGATTGGCAGTCCAATCCGCTGTACGACCTGCTGCAGCAGCTGCAGGCTGTGACTGCGCACATGAACTTCGCTCGCATCTTGCACAACCTTGTCCAGAACTTCTCTTCGGACTTCCAGAGAGGCTTCCGCTTGAGCCCCGCGGAGCAGCGAAAGAGGGAGATGAGGTATCGCGAAGAACTGGACATGTACGAGAGGATGTGGGTGAGGTTGAGGCTGGGGAGGAGGAAGCTGATCCGGCTTATCCTGTGGTTCAGCTCCAACTTCCCTCACTTCTTGTCGAAGGAGGCGAACTTGGACTTGATCTTCCGGTTCGCTGAGCACGACACAGCCGACACCGACGGCCCCATGCCTCCAGGTGGTGGGTCTGCCGTTAATCAGCCGGACGCGTCGGTGATGCAGCGTTACCTTAATGACAGTTTTAATCTGTGGAAGGAAGACCTTCATGAGGGGAAGTATCACCGAGATGACCACAGGATACGCCGGGAGATGTCCGCGGAGCTGTGGACCGCCTGGAGGAAGCTGTACGCGTTGCAGTCCCACACTCCCACAACTTTCGAAGAGTACTTGAATGAGCCCATGTTGTTTGGGCCGGCGATTTTCCTGGCCTCCTCGGAAGATAGGGACCGCACCCGCAGCAGCTGTGTCATGGACTGCCTCTATGTCTTGATTGACTCGCTGGTGCTTAACCTAATCGATATGGAGTGTGCGGACTCGCTGGCTACCATTCCGCAGTCGAGGGACGTGGTCGTTTCGCGGGTCACGGCCGCGGGTGAGGCAGACGTTGAAGGCCACGATGCATGGAGAGGAGGGTGGTCGTTCATGATGGACGTGGCCGATGATGGCAAGCTTGCGAGTATTCTCCTCCTCAACGAGGACAAGGACGACTTCATGCGCGGAGCGTACGCCCGGAAAGATATCCAGAGGAAGACGGCAACGACTCTCGTTAAGATTTGCCAGCTGCATGACAACTTGCGAAATCGTGTGGCCATGAGTTACAACCTGCGCTTCAATGTGGAGGCCTTGCGAGGTCTCAATCTGTCCGAGACGGAGGACCTTGCGGCCCAGATCGTTAGTTCCAAATCGACGACTAGTTAGTCTTAGACTCTTAGTTAGTAGGTACTGGGATTTTTTTTTTTTTGGATATCTTTTTAATCATCCAAATCGCTTACTTGCCAGCGGTAGGCGCTTTCATAGGTTGCGCCCTAATTTGTCTTGTGTTTGTTTTCATCCGAATTCTGTGTCTTGTTCTATCTCTTTTGCGTTGTTCTACTTGTTTCCCCTTAGTTTGGTGATTTACGTTAGCGCCTACATCATGGCACTGACGTTGCCCCGGCATGAAGTGGGAAGTCCGGCCTTCATGGTACACTGACGTGTCCCCAGCATGGACTGGGAAGTACGCTCAGGGAACGCAGGCCAATCAGTGGACGAGTGCAGATGTTTAGAAACTTCTCAGTCCAAGTAAGATCGCTGCGACAGATCAATAGACAATACTAGATAGATAGATGCGTAGGGACATCGGGTTCCTTAGACTGCATGCTAATTAGAACAATGCCCCCTGTCTTAGGGAGGAACGAGTCATCAAACACACACGTTCTTAGAAAAGTAGAAGAGGCCCATTTTGAAGGGAGCTCGGTGTATATAATAGTCTAGAGCTATTCTTTTATTAACCATTTCGTGGCTAGTTACAGTGACAGGACGTTTCGTCATCTGGGGCCGTTCTTTGACCATTCGTTGATCGTATCTTCTTTAGCCATTCTTTGGGCATTCTTTAGCCATTCTTTGGCCATTCTTTCTGCCGTAATCGAACCATTCTTTTAAACATGCTTTCCCATTGTTTCTTCATTCTTTGACCCGTCCTTACGCATTATTTGGCCGTTCTTAAACCGTTCTACTGGCTGCAGGCGTAGCAGAGCCCTTACACTGTAGCAACGCAGAGATGTCGAGTCGTAGGTAGGTTCTTGGAGGAGTGCCCGAAGATAGCAGCAACTGCATATTAAACAGATTGAATTTCCTGTGGAGTGTTGTAACGGAATTATTATACTTTATTTCAATATCGAAAAGCTGACAGCTGCAGTAGCCGACTGACTAGATCAGTAACATCATCAGTTGGTTATCACCTTCTCTAGGGACTCGACAATTCCTTACTGTGAACTCCGACAGCTATATTTCTGCACTCAGATTGTCGAGAAACTATGTAGCAGTGGCCGCCGGCCGGCGCATAGGTGCATGGAACTCTCTGTCCCCTACCTAGTAGAAGGATCTATGCCTCCGCCTCATAGCCATTTGATCAAAGGGTTTTGACACGAATCAGTCCAATGTCAGGGGTAACCACAAAACTCTGACATCCAGGGATGGGTTTCATCCTTGTCAGTCTGCCATTGTCAGATTTTCAGCCTCATTCTGCAAAAGGGCAGCTTTGCCTGTGGATTGACTCATCCATTCTCTGCGCTATACACACACACACACACACACACACACACACACACACACACACACACACACACACACACACACACACACACACTCAGAGAGAGAGAGAGAGAGAGAGTCTACAAAATGGGTTGTTGAGACTTCAAGAGGACAAAGAATCATGGTCAAGCCTCCCTGATAGATAATGAAGTCTAGGTCCCAAGGGACCAGGAGTAAGCTACCGCTTCCTACTTTTGTTGCCTCCTTGAGGTAGCTGGTTGAGCCTGGTTCTCTTACATGGTAAAGAGAAATCAGCAGCTGAGGCCCGAGGGGATACACTGGCCACTGCTGTGGTCAATCTATTGGGATGTTCAGATTTTTCAGACTACATGTATTTATATATAATAATAATATATAAATATATATATATATATATATATACATATAGGTAGATAGATAGATGTGTATATGTATTGTCAAACAGAGCTGCCGGGTAAACCGTAGCCAGAGAGGGAGAAGAGGACAACATATATTTATAAAGGCTAATTCTATTGAGGCCAATCAATTCAATTACCTTTCAAATCTGGACAGGACGACCTTTTAGCGAACCCCGTAGCAGCCACGAGGGAACATGCGGGAGCTGCACGCACCAGCAGGTGGTCGATACCAGCCAGGGGCCAGCCGGTATCATCAGCACCGAGTTTCTTCGACGGGTCAGTTGCTGCGACTCCCCTCTGGTCCGCTTTGAAGGGATCAGCGGCCTCTGCTACATGCCACTTGGGGGAACAAACGGCCTATTTCTAGGTGGTGGCGGCACTGGGCGCCAAGCATGCCAAAGAAGGTACATGAGATGATGAGCCCAATCATGGGGGTTGAGCCCAAGACGTCAATTATTTTACCTGTCCTGCTTCAGGACGACTGAATAAAGTTTGGCGTTTTCTGACAAGGTGAGAAAATAAGGTTGTAACAAAAGGGCAGAGACTTACGCAACCCCTTGCCAGTTATTAAGGGAGTGGGTTTAACTACAGTAAACTTGCAGAATGGGTTAACTTTAACTACAGTAAACTTTGTGGGGTTGCTTCTTCTTCCAAGAGCCTCAGACTGAGAGTCAGGAAGAAGGTCATGGTAGGGAATCCGATTCAAATACATATTTGAAGTTATTTACTATTTAATATTTTATTCAGTTTTGTCATTTTATTATTTGGTGAATTTGACATTCCTTGTAGCCAGTGCACTTCGGAGTTTGCAAGGAGCGTGAGGTAGTGACATTTAGTCATTATTTGAATTTGTTTTATTATTTGAATTTGTTTTATTATTTGAATTTGTTTTATTATTTGAATTTGTTTTGCTATTTATAAGCCGGAATAAGAATACTAGAAGTTGGGTCTGTTCACTGTTGCATTCTATTTTTGCTTTTCATTTAGTCATTCATTTTATGCAAGCATTTACGGTTTCATAAATTTACATAACTGGCGGAGTCTGGCTCAGCTGTATATGCTGTAGAGGAGGAATGAAGATGGCAGTGAACTGACTAACTGTAGCCTAACCAGGATTTATGAAGTTGGAATCTTCTGGATTTATTGAAATACGCTGAGTCTACCTGAACCCTGACCGGGATGGCTGCAGACTGACCTTTTCTTGATTCCTTGATTTAGTCCCCTTTTTGGAACAGCCATAGAAGCCTGTTCGGCACGACGGCACCTGCTGAGCCAATGCGACAGGAGCTTGAGTTAGTGTCATATTCTTCAGACGTCAGCAGATGATAGTCAGCTAAGGTGAGACCGTGAGAGTGCATGCTTCTACCTACAACCATGCTACCGTCTTCAATCCCTGAATAGAACGGCAGGTCATTATAATAGCAGCTGTGGATTGCAAGTTGGCCTGAGTACAAGTATAATGACCGGGAGACGGTGCTGTCGAAGATCTGTTGTTGAAGATGGAGGTCGGATTACACAGAGCATCGCAGGCAACAGGTTGGCGCAAACAGTATTATAATACGAGAGAAACACGGCCATTAGGTCTGCTCGGGTTAAGGAGACACTGTTGTTTCGCTCACTGAGCTTTCTTGTGCGGGGGACCGGTGCTCACTGTTCAGACGATGCATCGATCGGTCCTCTATGACACCAGATGGCACACAGTGCCTCCAGTATGTCCTCATTTGCAATTCTGCACTGTGGGGAACTTGGGGGCTTTCGGTGGAGGGTGGGCAGATCAAGCCCCATCCCTGTTCGTCAACCGGATTATGGTCAAGGTGACCATCTTGTTTGTCTGGCTGTTGTCATTTTCTTTGACAGGGGGCATGGGGATGGAAACCTCGGAAGGTTGTTGGAGAGAGAGAGAGAGAGAGAGAGAGAGAGAGAGAGAGAGAGAGAGAGAGAGAGAGAGAGAGAGAGAGAGAGAGAGAGAGAGAGAGAGAGCCAGGTTGCCTTTGAAATGTTTCCCTCGTGTCTGTGTTCGATGAATCCATTTGAATGTGCTGAACTCTGAACTGCTGTACGTTTTTCTGTCTTCCAACTTGAAGATGAACAAGGGTCGAGTCACACTGGGCTGAGACTCTTTTGCCTGAATCTTAGCTGGAATGCTGTAACAGTTCAGGTATGTCCAGAAAAGACTCCTAAAGTAATCAGTTTTCTAGAAACGACTCCTCTTTGAGCCGTATTCGCCACCACAATGAATGGATGATGATGGGGTTATACCAAACAGTGAAAACACCAACATGCAGCATAAACAAAGGTAATGTGAGTATACGATCGTGACGTATTTCGTTAGAAGGCCAGCTTTCTTTTGGTTTTCCTTTTTCTTTCTCATGTGAAGTTCCATTTTGCCAACTTGCAAGTAGCTGTGCCTCCCATCTACTGCCTCTACCCTCATCCGTGTCCATCGCCAGCACTCTCCTGCAGGACCTGCCCACATGCCCCCCCCACACAGGCACACACATGATGGTTAAAGACCCTACCAATACCAAACTATCTCAGTTGTTTGTCTACTTGGCACTAAGAGTGTGGCTGGTGGTGGTCAGTGGGGATTGAACCCACGACCTCCTGAACGCCGCATGTGTGCCTAACCAACTGAGCTAGTCGCGGCTTGGCATGCACAATGTCCACATTTTGCACCGAGTAGTTGATACAATCGATCGATTGCTCTTGTCATGAACTTTTTCCATTTCTAGCTTTATAGAGGCACTGCCGAGTGATATTTCTGCAATTTGAAAAGAAACGAAGGAAAGAAGGTCCTGTTCCAATTCTTATTATTAATTGCATCGGTCAGCTTTCGATGGTGTAGTAGAGTGCTCGTGAAAGGCCTTCCACGATTCAGACCTGAAATCCGGACTTCAGTCAGATGCCCAGGTCACGGAAAGCCCGAGTTCGTCAAACTCAGAAAAGTCACAATCGGGTACCTCAGCACTGTAGTCCAGCAGGCACCCAGCAAACAGTCACGTTTCAGGCACAAGAGTCACGTCCCGTAATAAAAACCATTCAGAAGAGGCACATCCGACAAGTGAAAAGGCAGATTCACCAAGCAAGAGTAATGTCTCGAAGGTACGAGTCACGTTTCCTAATGAAAAGTCATACTGAAGCACAGGCGAAGGTCGTGACCCACAGGCAGGAGTCACTGTCCACGGTGAAAAGTCGTGTTCACAAGTGAAAAGTCATGACTCAAAAGGCCCAAGCAGCAGATTCTGAAGTACAATGGAAATTCGGCAAGGTTCTAGGCCTTGACATTCAGTAGCAGACAGGCCGTGGGGATGTGGTACTGGAACCAGTCAGGAGCCAAGAGACAGAGGC